TGTGGCATCAGTTGTAATGTCTCTCTTTTCATTTCAGATTTTTCTTACTTGGATCTTCTCTGTCTCTCTCTCTCTCTCTTTTCTTTTTTTCTTTTCTTGTTAACCTAGCTAATGGTTTATCTATTTTACTTATCTTCTCAAAAAGCCTACTTTTTGTTTCAGTGATCTTTTTATTGTTTTTTTTTGGGGGGGGGGCATTCTCTCTTTCATTTAGTTTTTCCCTGATATTGATTATTTCTTTCCATCTAGTACGTTTGAGATGCAATTGTTGTTGTTTTTGTAGTTGTTTGACACATAGTGTTAGGTCATTTATTTGAAGACTTCCCATTCTATTGATGTAAGCATTTATTGCAATAAATTCCCTCTTAGTATTGCTTTTGCAGAATCCCATAGGTTTTTGTATGATGTATCTTTATTTTCACTAGTTTCAAAAATTTTTTGATTTCCTGTTTAATTTCTTCTTGGACCCGTAGATTGTACAGGAGTCTTTAGTTCAGTATCCATGCACTTGTGTAGTTTCCAGAATTTTACTTGTTTATTGATTTCCAGTTTTAATCCATTGTGTTCGGAAAAGATACTTGGAATGAATTGAATTTTTAAAAATTTGCTAAGACTTGATTTGTGACCTAGTATGTGGTCTGTCTTGGAGAATGTTCCATGTGCTGATGAGAAAAATGTATATTCTCTACTTGTTGGATTAAATGTTATTTAGATGTCTGCCAGATATAATTGGTCTAAGCTGTAGTTTAAATTTTGTGCTTCTTTGTTGATTTGATGCTTGAAAGATCTGTCTAACAGAGAGAGAGGTGTGTTCAGGTCGCTCACTATTATTGTATTTGGGTTCATCTCTTTTTTTAGGTCTAAGAGTGTTTGGTTTATATATCTAGGTGCTCGACCTTTGGGTGCATACATATTTATGATTGTTATGTCCTCCATCTGGGTAGGTCTCTTTATCATTATATAGTGGTCTTCTTAATCTCTTTTTATGGTTTTTGGTTTGAAGTTATTTTATCTGATATAAGAATAGGTACCCCTGCTTGTTTCTGGTTTCCGTTTGTGTGATACATGTTTTGCCATCTGTTCACTTTTAGTCTCCTTGTCTTTATTGGTGAGAAGTGTCTCTTGAAGACAGAATCCAATCAGTCACTCCGTGTTTTTTGAATGGGGAGTTTAATCCATTTATATTCATGGTTGTTATTGATAACTATTGCTTTACTCTTGTCATTATATTGCTTTTTATTTAGATGTTTTAAACATCATCTGTCCCTTTCTTCCCCTTATTTTTCATCTTCAATGTTAGTTGGATTTTGAGGTGATATGATTTAGCTTTTTTCTTTCTCATTTGCATTTTGTTTTTACTAGCAGATTTTGCTCTTTCTTGTTAATCCATGATACTGATTATCATTTTTCAGACTCCGGATCCCAATTCTCCTTTGAGTATTTCTTGCAGGGTTGGTCA